CTATTTTTGAATAGATATGCAGTGTATATTACAAATAAAATGAGTGAGATTGAAGACCTCTGTGATACTTCTATTTTTATCTCAGTCTTGTCTTGTTTCATTCCATCAAAGAAGAGTTGTATAATTCTTTTAGATATAAAACAGTTAACCCATTTTATTAGGGAAAGTGGCAGTTTTAATATCTTCAATGTCTGAATTAACTTTGACTTTGAAACATGATCAAATGCTTCTTTTATATCAATAAAAACTGCAGTTGAGACCAGATTCTCATACTTTGCTATTTGAATATCATGAACAACTGAGAGAACAGTGTTAATTGCAGAACACTGTTTTCTATCTCTCATTTGTTCACTGAATAAAAGAGAATCATCTATAGAGCTTATAAAAGATAGTCAAGTAGCTATTATCTTTTCTAAAACCTTTTCTAAACAGTTCAATAGAGATATTACTCTATATGACTTAGAAATTGAAGTTTTTCTATTAGGTTTTGTAAGAATCACTTCAGTGACTTCTCTTCAGTATTCAGAATGATATTCATTTTTCAAGAGATTGAAAAAGAGCTCAAAATATTCATTCTTTAAGTAGGAATATGTATTTTGAATAATTAAGTGATTAATTGAATCAGGACCTGCAGCAGTTTTAACAGAACTTGAGAAGATAGCTGACTCTAATTCATCTTGTGTAAGATCAGGCCATTCTCAGTCATTTTCATTAATGTAGTTGAGAAGTGATATATTCTCTTCCTCTGAATCTGAATCTGAATCTGGTGAGTTCTGAAAGAGAATTCTCATGAAAGCTTGACATTTTTCCTCAAAAGAGTTTGCTGTATATGATTCATTCTGAAACTCATATTCTAGAGCTGAAAGTTTTGCTACACTTCTTATTTTAGTATAGTTAAAAGCTTTAAAAACTTCCTTCTCTTGTGCTTCTTCAAGAAATTTATTCCAGCAGTCTGTTTTAGCTCTTTTAATATCTGAAAAATATTCATTTCTGACAGTTTTGAACTCTTCATCAGATATTACATCATTCTTTCAATCTCTTCTAGCAGTAGCTAATTCTTTTCTTTTAGATGAGATATTCTCATTTCATCAAGGTTTTGAATACTCAGAAGATTTTCTTTTTAGAATATTATCTCTAACACTTGTTAGAATGATAGATGTAATAAGCTTCACTCTATTCTCAAGCATTTCATTTGAGATATCTTGACCAGAATTCCAATATAGCTCATTCTGTCTTTCAGATTTTAACAGTTTTATGCTTTCTTCAACTGCTTTTCAATCAGCTTTTTCAAAGTTATACTGATTAGAGAGAAGAGGATTTTCACTCATTTGTTTTTCACTCAGTTCAATATCAAATTGAATAATCTCATGATCTGATCCTGATGTCTCATTTGAATCAATAAACCAGTTTACAAGTCTTCTTTTCATTAGATTTTATGACATGAATGTTAGATCTATAATAGACTTCTGTTTCATGCCTTTTCTAAAGAATGTTTGTTGATCAGACTTATTAACCAAATCTATTGAATGCTCAAAGGTTCATTCAACCAGATTATCAGCTGTCACTGCTCTCTTGCATTCTGAATTTCATCAGGGATGATGTGCATTGAAATCTCCTGCAATTATAGAGTTTCTTGATGAAGTTATGTTCAGAAATCCTCTATCAATTGTCCAGATATTGTTATTTTTCTTCAATGACTTTTCATTATAGATATTTATGAGCTGTATAGTATCAAACTCATTTTCTTTATCTATAATATCACTCACCAGAATATCAGGGTCAGACATGATATCAAATCTTAGATTAAATTGATATCTTGATCTCTTTCTTTCATAGATCACTACTCTTGACTTTATCTCAGATTTTTGAGATAAAAAGCAGTAGTAGCTTGAATGAGAAATGATATATTTTTGCTCAGCATCAAAATTCAGCTCCTGAAGCAGTACAAAATTAACTTTTTATTCAAATGCAATTTGAAGACAAGAATAAATACAATTTGAGTTTCTATTCACATTATTTTGAATAAATGTGATTTTTGAAGAGTTTTTAAACTTTTTTTATTGTTTTTGTTGTATATTCATACTAAAAGAGAGTAGAGAAGAATCTAATCACTATTATCAGATAGTAGATTATAACTGTTCTGAAAAGTAGAAATCTCAACTGCTTGCATTATATCTAGTTTATCACCAGAGTCATTTCTCAATTCTCTAATCTTAACAGGAGTTTGAGGATTCAAATTCTGTTTACATTTTACTGAAGAATTGAAGTTTGAAGACTTAGATAATTGAGAGTTTCTTCTTTTTAAGCTTGCAGTTGTGAGTTTACTGGCTTGACTCTTCTCTTCAGTTCTAGATTGACTTTGAGCTTCATCTTTTCTCCAGTTCTTTTGAGTTCTAGAAGCAAACATACATTCTTTTGAGCTAGATGCATGTTTTTCTTTGCAATTAGAGCACTTAAGCAGAGTATATTGATAAATTTCATCTCTTTTTGAGCATGTTTCACATTTATGCTCACTAGTTTTGTGATCTCTGGCACAGAATGCACATTTTGAGTCTCTAAAACATGAGATTGCAAAGTGTCCATATCTTTGACAGTTTGAACACTGTGTTTGAGCTTTGAGATTCATTCTTGAGTCTTTGTATTCATGAACTCTCATTTTCAAATCTGCTACTCTTACTTCAGAGATTTTTGACTGTTTAAGTGTTTTTGTATATACTAGAACAGAGGCATTTCTCCTGCTTTGTCTGAACTCAATTGAATTTAGTCATACAGGCTTCTTTCTCAGTTGATGGAGTTGTATTCTTCTACTCATTTTTAGGAAGTAGCATTTCATCTTCACAGTCAGAATTTCAACTGAAATATCATGAAGAA